AGACCACTACGAGCTGGTCCCGCCCCCACCTTGGCCATCCGAGTATTCACTCGGTTGCATCTTGCAGGATGGCCAAGTCGAGTTGGCGAATGCTGGTGCCCACATTCGTCGCGTGCATGTCCACCATTTGAAGCTGTACCTCAAGAGCGATGTGGATCCGCTCTTGAAGGCACCTGATCCTACACTTCTCTGAGCATCCATACTGGCGTCCAGCTAAAAGACGGTAAAGAAGTGCTTGTGGGGAGGCAACCCCACCGAGGTTTGCATTTTCTTACTTTCTTCCTTTTGTTTTTTGTGTTTTTTTTTAGTCTTGAGATGTCATTCCAGAGTCAAATGTCGTTTTCGAGTGAAAACAGGTTGAATTCGGGGCTCCAGCAGTTCGCACGGCCAGACCTGAAACTCACACGGCCGTGTGAAATTTTTCCCCTGGCCGTGTGAGCTCTCGGCAATTTCCACACGGCCAAAAGTTCAATTCGCACGGCCGTGTGGATTGGCCTGGCCTGGCCATGTGGCTGACACGGGCAGCTCGTCTGCTCGCACGACCGTGTGGATTTTATCACATGGCCGTGTGAGCTATCGGCAAATTCCACACGGCCAAATGTGCAACTCGCACGGCCGTGTGGAGTTCCTCGGCCAGCCCGTGTCGGCCTACACGGGCAAAAGTGCTCTTGACACGACCGTGTGTGTTGCCCGTGTGTCAGCAGGGAGTGACTCTCACACACATCGAGCGGGAGAAGCGCCATTCACGGCGCATGCAGGAGGTCCAGCAGCATTTACTCCAGCTGCTACCGGGCGAGCAGCCCGTCTGGAGGACTCCCTGGGAGGACTCTCCACTTCCACCTCCCCCAGCGGATGGTGATGATGGTGCTGATGGTGATGACGCCTTCATGGACGACATCGACTTGGATGATCTTGGCGACGTTACTCGTTGCCCATCTCAGTGTGTTTTGTTTTTCTTTTTAGACTTTTGTGTGTTTTCTCCATGTGTGAGGAGCTTGAACTTAGTGTTGTTTGTTTTTCTTTTTCTTTTGTGGTTTGTTTATGTTGTAGCCGTCTGGGCTAACACTTATCCCTAACGCACAGTGTGCTAATGTGTTCTTGGTGTTCGATTCGTGCAGAACTGTCCATCTCCCCGTTTGTTTCTCGCTGACTGGTCCACTTCCAGTCCCCCAGCAGTGTTTCAATCCGGTAACATCGTTCCCCTTATCTCTCCCTCTACTCCATTGAGGGAAATGTCGTGCTTAAGTGTGGGGGGGGGGTGCTTTATATCGGTTGGAATATATATTTGTGTGCTTGGAGCCTAGTCCGCTGTCCGAATCTTACGATTTGAGGGCTCCAAGTACTGTTATTTGATCATATTGGCACTGTGTTGTGATTGAATAATTGAATGGTTTTCGGATTGATGCATGACAACTTGATTGTGACTAGGACAACCTATGATGAGGACTGAGACGTGCAGTAGAATGATGTAGGGGTTCAGTTTTCAACTGTTTACTTACCAACTGTGACTTGGATTGATCACTTGTTCTTGACAGTCGTTTATGCATCTAGTTCAGGGTATCAGAATGTGAGATAGAGCATATAGGTAGGCATGTGAGATTTGAGCCTGCTCATTTCTTTCTCGTGTGATAGATCCCTCTTCCATGATGTGTAGCATTCACGTTGTCACTAGCTAAGATGATGGGGGCATAGGATTAGCCCACGACCAAAATTGACTGTCCTGATGTGTCATATCCCCTAGTCAGCCCCTTTGAGCCGTGTGTTATCTGTTCTTTTGGTCTATAATGAAAAATCACCCTTTTGCATCTTTTAGAAGGTTCCACAGAGTGGTTTTTACATATTCTCTGCTGTTTCTGCTAAAGTTTATGTGAGTGTTGGAGGTAGTGCTTAAAAGTTGGGCAGGTGTTTGAAATATGTGCAGAAGTGGTGGCTCTCTTAAGAAATGAAAATAAAAAAAAAAAAAACAAAGAAAATTTGAAAGCAAAAGAGAGCCACTACCAAAAATCTGAATAATGCCCATTAAGTAGTGTTTCTTAGCAGTCTGGCTTGGAAATGCTAACATTTATACCTCCTTCACTTTTGTGCTCTTGAGATATTGAGTAATGCAGAATAGCAAGAAGGAAATACCGGTTTGTTTGACTGTGATCGTGTGGGTTTGGAAATGTGGAACCTTCTGCTATGAATACTTCCACCACCTAAAAGGCTTTTTCCCCATGTCCAAGACCCTAGTCAGTCATTTGAACCTGTGTCTAAGACTCCTGATTAGTTAGTGGTGACACCCCATATGTGAACTCTAGCATTTAGAGGCTGCCATCATGGTGAAGAGATTTTAGGGATTGAGAGAAATAGCATGCGCATTTTTCGCATCGAATCGTCCTGACCCCACTGGTCGAGAGTGAGTGATTCATTTTCATATTCTATATACTCTTGTACCCCGGTGAGGACCTAGATTGCTCGGTCTCTATTCTGATGTCGTGAGTTGGATGCATGAGTTGACTTTTTTGAGTAAGTGGTCGAGTCAAGTCTAGGTTGGTTGGTGAACATAAGGGAGACTCTTCCATTACTCGATTTTGATGCGCTCGAATGTCCTTTGTGGTGGTTGTCCAGGTTGCTATTGAAGTTGTTCATGTGTTGATGCTTGAAAACCAGTACGATTCACGTGTTCTGTGCCTTTATGACTTGTCCCCATGTTGGTTGATTGAAATATGTAAGCTTACCTTGTGTCTGACTTGGTTTGCTTGGGGACAAGCAAACGGTTAAGTGTGGGGGAGTTTGATAGACCGTTAATTACACATGTTTTTACCCCTGTTCTTACATCATTTGAGGTGTGGATTCTCGTGTTGTAGGACGATTTCACGCTAGGTTGTGCTTGTTTGTGATATTTCAGGTCCTAGTACGTGAATGGAGGCTTGGGAGCGAGTTTGGGGTCGATTGGACGAAGATCGGACGCGTGGCGAGGTGCTAAGGAAGCCGCACAGGCATTCCAGGACATCACACGGCCGTGCACCTAACATTTGTGGCCGTGTGATTTTCGCCGCGAGCAAACACGGGCAGGGCAGAAAATCCACACGGCCGTGCGACCCTGGCCGTGTGGGAAGCCTGAAGTGCAACTAATCCATACGCCGCGTTTTGACTCACACGGGCAACTAGGTGGGCCACACGGCCGTGTGGCCTGCCCGTGTGAGTCGGGAAATCTTGGTTTTTCAGCCAATTTCGAGCCAAAAGTGATCGAATCGGATTTTCAGAGCAAAAACAGAGCCCTAGAGAGAGAAAGTGCGAAGAACACATCCTAGAAGCTATCTTGGAGCTGGGTTTCGTCAAATCGAGCTTGGAGATCGTCATAGGAGTGGAAATCATCATCCCAGAGCAGATTTTCTTCATCTTTATGAGTATGACTACTCTGATTACTGTTTTCTTCTCTCTCTCTATGGAGTAGAACCCTTCTCTCACTTGGGTATGAAGAAACCTAGTTCCTTGTGTTAGGGATTTGATTGTAATGACTTGGGATGATTATACTGTTTGGTTTTAATCGAATGATGCATGTTTATTGAATTGATTGAAGTCTGATAAGCTTTTCTCGATTTCTGCTGCAACCTGAGATAAATAGAATCTGATTAGGTTGTTAGAGCCTCTTCATTCGATAGTAGGAGATTGGTTATACGAGAGTTAGCCAGTTTACTGCTTTGTACTGGAATTCAATTCCAGTAGTGGAGTTCTGTGTTCATAGCCTCAGCTTTCTATCCCGGTGAAGACTAGTCGTCTGCCGGGTAGTTAGATTGAGAGGGCTTGGTCAGCTTAAGAGATTCCAAGCTACTGTCGGATCTTCCGCAGTCTAATCAACAGTGAATCAACCCAGGGTAATTACAATTGAACCTAACTAAGGAGCTAGGGGGACTCATTCCCGAGTGACTCTTTCCTGCTTTTGAAAACCGAACCATTTCCTGCTTTCTTACTGCTTTTGCTTTAAACACAAATCACTCGACTTAGTTGGCTAGATAATAAATAATCACGGAGTAAGCAGTAGATCTAGACCCCGGGTTGATAATAGAACTTGCCTGTTAATGCATTCCCGGACTGCGATTACACTTGGTCGCAGTTTGGTGTTGTGTTTTGGTGTGTCATCAGGCGTATGGGCTGAAAGTGCATATTTCGGCCAAAGATTTCCAGTGAATTATGGGTGTCCCCGAGGGAGGGACGAATATCGTCTTGGATGGTGAAGAAGTGGTTAGAAGATCCAAGGAACTAAAAGAATTTAGATTTTATTCGACTCGTGACTATGACCGACAGGCGATTTCCACAAGCTTAATGCGAAAGACGTTGTTGAAGATAAAAGAGAGTAGCGATCTATTTGTTAAAACTTTTATATTGTACGTAATGGGGGTGCTATTAGTACCTACTAAAAGAGATGACATTTTGTTATCTTCGGTATAAGCTGTCACCGATGTTGTGGAAATTCTGAAGAAGAATTAGGCATCCTATTGCTTCAATGAATTGGTGAAATGCATCTGTGACCATAATGCTGATGGGAAAAAGTATATACCTGGTTGCTTGCTGTTTTTGGAGGTAAATAATTCCTAATCCCTACTTTCTAAATATTCGTAATGATTAATCATCATGTTGATTATAGATTTTTTTGTAGTTAATATTCTTGGAGCATGCAAATGGTATTTTCCACACCATTGATGGAAGTTTGGATTTGATGAGTTGGGGGAGCGGAGACGTAGAGTTATTGTTAACGAAAGTGGTAAGCCTGATAGAGCAAAATTGTATATTTGATTCTTTTGACGAGTTGGAGCATGCTAATGGTATATTTGGTTCCCTTTTTAATTAATTTATAGGTTTCAAGCAGTTCGGTGAAAAGATCATCTGAGGATGCAGGCTTGAAATCACCTCCAAGGAAACAGGAAAAAAGAGACGGGAAACTGCACAAAAACAGGCGGGGATGAGCTGCTTCTCTGTGAGCGTATTGATGCTCAGTTTAGTACCATGGAGGCTAGATTTGACAAATTCAGTCAAGAATTTAAAGTCTCAATGGGTGATGCTGCTTCTAGAGATGAGGAGCTAATGGGTCGGGTTATGAATATGGAGAATGAATTTCGGGAATTTAGAGACGAAATTGGTACTGCAGTGAAGTCAATTATAGAGGCAGTGAATGCAACTACAGGTGACTCGTTGTCAAGTGAGCAGCCTACTGAATTGAAAAAGAACGATCAGAAGGATGTGGCTGATAATGTGAAAGCTTCTGCAGTTGTTTTGTTGTCAATGGAGCAGCTTATCAGAGGGGAAAAGGGCAATCAGAAGGGTGAGGTTGAAAAACCAAGTGAACCCATTTATCCTACCTCCCAATGTGTCAAGACTCAAGGGTTAGGTGTTAAGATTTGGGGAGAGGCTGAGGGGGAAATTGGAGATGACAGCTGTTCTGAATCTCCTTATGTCAAAGTTGTGAAAAAGTCTCCTTGCAAGCAGGCGAAAGTGTCTAAAGTTGAGAAATTCATACTTTTGAGTAATGAAAGTGTTGCTGCTAATGATGGTTGGCCCAAGACTGTGAAGGTATTACACTTGATTAAGTTTTCTAATTCTTTGTTCTTATGGCGTGGTTACTAATGAACTGGTTTTGTTTTTTTTATTATGTTTTTGAACAATAAAGGGGCGAAAGGGAGGTGGACTACGTAGTGTATCTAAATTGAAGCGTATGTGGTCTCTCCATTCGAATGGGCAAATCCCAGTGCTAAGAAAGTGCTTTTAGTAGTAAGCTTCCCGGAAGGTACCTCCCGAAATCATTACAAGTAAGATTGGAACATATTTGTAGGATGTTTTTGTTATTTGCCTTATTCTAATGTTGTGGTGTTTGAAATTGGTCTTGTATAACAGTGACATGTTGGTTAGTCTTGATGGCTGGGTTCTTCCCTTGCTCCGTGAAGATTTGATCCAGCTTTTGCCCACCAAACTTTCAACAAGGGCGAGTTCCTTTATGAGTGTAATTTAGTAGATTGAACTTGCATTGCTGACTTTGGTATATGTGATGATGATGCATTAGATTATAGAAATGGTGTGTCTGTGCAAGACACTAGAAGAACGAAGTTGTGGTCGCAGTGGTGGCTTGTCTTGGTTCTTTCCACCTTCAGTTTCGGTACAGTTTCTTAGGGCAAGACCTTAGGAAGTAACGACGAGACTGAACCCTTCTCACTCACCAGGTTGAGGAAGGGTTAGCAGAGGTGGATCCCGAGAAGGAGCAAGGCAAGGCGAGCAACCGCACCAGCATTGACGAGGTGTCAAGGAACTAAGCGAGGAGTTATAGTTTGTTTAGTCATTTGTGTTTATGATTATGAGTATAACTGGAGGTTCAGAGGTTGAGGTTTATTAACTATGCATTTGAGTTTTGCCCACGTGTTTAGGGCATTGCATTTGACGTTTTTCTTGGGAATGTTTAAGTTGTATTTGAATTTTAAGCTTTGTTTTAACCGGCTCCCGAGCCATGATTATTTCAGTTGTTTAAAAGGATCGGGGTGTTTCATTTTGGTATCAGAGCCGGCACTCTGTTTCTTGGCCTCCGAGGAATACTGGAGTGGCGATCTTTGTTTTCAAGGGTTTCGTTTTTAAAGGAAATGAAAAAAAAAGGGTTGTCAGGTTTAAGGTTTGGTCAAACGAGTTAGAGTTCTTTTGAGGATTGTAGAATCTCCAGTTATACTCAAATCATGATTAGGAAATAACTCTAGGAGACAGTACGGGGTTTTGACACGTCTCGGAAAGGAGAAAGATCAGCTGATTGCTAGGATTATTGTTCAGTGAAAACCCCTTTCTTGAGTGGGAAGAAGAGGTTCAAGATATCTCATTCCTATTACTATGCGAGCTTATCAGAATAAGGCCCAGGAAAGAGTCACGTATTTAGTACGTCGACAGGCAGTAGCCAAGCAGTTGCAGCAAATGACGGCCATAATCGAGAGGAAAGGATGCAAAGAGGATTCGCTAGGATCAAGATGATTAAACTTAGGGGACGTGACCCCAAGGAGCAGTGGAAAGTTAGGCTTTAAGTAAGGATGGGAACTTATAAGGAGCTATTAGCATAGGTCCTCAAGGAGCTCGGCGACAGGTGTTGTAAAGGTGGTGTAAGGAACGAGGCTTGGGGAAGTCACGATGGAAAAATTTCGAGGTTGAAATTTTTCTTAAGGGGGGAGGAAATGCGATGCAGCGACATCGATTTAAGGTTCAATGATAAGTATTGAATGAGCTGGAGCAATAAACTGATTCGAAATTTTGTTCCATCACGCCCTTGGGGCGAGCGAGGGAATTAAAAAGGGCAAGTAGCCACTCAAAGCTACTCGATGCTAACGAGTTTGGTGAGAATAGCATAATGGCCAAGAGGAAATGTAAGAAGTGAAGTAGACTATACGGGGCAAACAACGAGCATCGTTGAAGTTCAAATAGCAAGAGTGAATTCTTGAGCTAAGGAAGCACGAGAATGAGGACTATGGAAGGATGAGTCCGATCAAATTTCGAGGACGAAATTTTTATAAGGGTGGAGGAAATGTAACACCCCGATATTTGAGTCTAGGTTCGACCAAACGATTGGATCGACGGTTGCGTACGAAAGTTCGACCGTAAATTAGAAATAATAATAATAATAATAATTTTGTTAACAACAATTATTGTTTTTATCATAATCTGCACCCGTCACTTTTCCCCAGCAACATCATAAATAAATAAAAATAACTAAATAAACGAAATGCCAATATCTGTTACATCATTAACTCCCACCCCAAAGTTTTCCATTAAAACCCAATTGTGCTTTTTATATATACTAGATTGTTATGTGCCGCGCTTTGCTGCGGCAATGGAAATGTTTCCAAGTCTTATCTGCTAACCTGTTGGACATACTTATGCAAGAGAACGTACTGTTCAAATATATATATATATACACGAAGTTTTGTTCATAGTTAAGTTCTAAACTTTAGTTCCATGCACAATTAAAGGTTTTTTTTTTAATCAATAAGACAATGTGACACTATTGGTATCTGTATCCGGTGATCCACAATGACATACCCCTAACCTATCCCAACAACGTAATCGTTTATAATGTCAATCTTGAACTTTCTCCGCCCCAGCATGAACTGCACACAATCAGTTGCCTTGCAGAAAGCACTGAACCTAGAGATGAATTTCGACCTGATCTATTTCACCCGACCTGCTTAACCTGTTTTGGGGTGATATTACCCGCCTCGTAGACGGGACGGGGTGACATGGATACTCTCTTTGTAGGCTTAAAGTGATGTTTGGTACTCGTCTCATATGGAATCTTGATTCTTGAAAAGTATGTGGTTGAAGTTGAAGATGCTAAAATTATTATTTGATAAATTTAGTTAAATTATTCAAATCAACCTGTCCCGATCCACAATAAATTACCCAATTTGAACCTGACATGCTATGGAGCGAGTATGAGTATCGAGATATCCCGCCCACCAACCTACGCATTGTCAGTTGTAAATTGTAATTGAACATTATGCTTGTCTCCTCCTCCCCAAAGGATATGAATGAGGTAATGGGGCTAGAGTGATCTTTATATTGTAAATTAGGATACATGTGGGTGGAAATTAATCATACACAAATCACAAAAATATGAGAAAAATGCCACAAGTTACATGTGGCAGCAGGGGATGCTTTTACCACTAATTGATGCAGACTTCTCACTGCTGCACTTGGTGAGCAAAGAAAATGACAGCCTGTCCAATTAGCAAAACCGTTATGAAACAGTAAACCACTTATACGTTTAATAATATTCATGGATATGTTAATTTCTCTCATCGTAACCGAGAGTTCAGAGAAGCAGTGGGAGTCCTATCGCCAGTTTCCGAGTTATTTCCCCACCTGCTCTCGGCCAAGCTGCTCCACCTAGAAGACTCCTATCCGCTCGCACCAAAAGTAGCGGTGATGATTGGGAGAAGCAGCCACCACCGAGTCCTGATCCAATAAGAGGAGATGGTGGCTCTATTGTGAGGACACAAGAATTTCAATAGGTGGATGTGATCATGAGAGATGTGATACCTCGACTTCGTCGAAGAAGGGTGTGAAAATTGAAACAGATGAGAAAGCAACCAATGGTCCTACCTCGTCAATCGATGATGCAAAATCTAATGGTGAGCTGGTTTTGAAGTTAGAAACATGAAGGCAGCAACTAGTGACTGGATTTAAGATGGCTCACATTCAATCTAAGAAGCGATGGCCATGTTATCATTTGGGTAAGTAACGTGTATTGGGGTTTGGCCACAGCTTGTGTGGGTGCATGTCATTAGGCTAATTTTTGCAAGTTAAATAATCATCATCATAAAACCTACTCACGTGGGACATTGGATTTTCTTTGGACTGGGGGATGTATTGTTCGACGTGATGAGGAGGAGAACAAGAACGAGAAGGAGGCCAAGGTGTAACAATGGTATGTCGAGGCTTAGGCACGATAAAGAGGTTAATAAAGAGTATTTTGAGCTCCTAAAATTGGCGACTAATTCGAGAAAGCCGACTTGCAAAGGTGAGTGTAAAGGGGGTAAAATCTCCGTCGAGGTCTTTTAGTTTATGTCTTTAAATTCAGTTATGTTGGTTATTTTTCATTTAAGCGCGATTGTGTGTGTGAGGCATCCCACCGCCTACTTAAGGTGGAGGCACGCGTTGTGCTATGTATGTGAATGTGTGTGGATGATGGTATTGAACCCCCGGGCGGTTGGGCCACTACTGGACGCGGTAGATGGTCGGGTCACTACTGGACGGCGATACGTAACGCAGTAGTTGACCGGGCATGGACTGGACGGCGATACGTAACGCAGTACCATTGCCTTGAGGATAGGGACACCGGATGGTGATACGTAACGCGGTGGTCCCTGGTATTGATGTCTATTAGTTAAGGTAGTAGTAGAGAACTTCTATGATTTCAGGATAAAAGTTGAGAACCTCATGAGTTAAAGTTGAAATGAGTTATTAAGGATGAAAGTGAGAACGTCTTTCATCCAAGGAAAGGAAGCGCAAATAATGTGTTTTAGTAAGGAGGTTGCTTAGGGCAAGACCTTAGGAAGTAACGACGAGACTGACCCCTTCTCATTCACCAGGTTGAGGAAGGGTTAGCAGAGGTGGATCCCGAGAAGGAGCAAGGCAAGGCGAGCAACCGCACCAGCATTGACGAGGTGTCAAGGAGCTAAGCGAGGAGTTATAGTTTGTTTAGTCAGTTGTGTTTATGATTATGAGTATAACTGGAGGTTCAAAGGTTGAGGTTTATTAACTATGCATTTGAGTTTTGCCCACGTGTTTAGGGCATTGCATTTGACGTTTTTCTTGGGAATGTTTAAGTTGTATTTGAATTTTAAGCTTTGTTTTAACCGGCTCCGGAGCCATGATTATTTCAGTTGTTTAAAAGGATCGGGGTGTTTTAAGTTGTCTGCGTTGTCTATTCTTGTCATGAAATTAATCTATTTGTTTGTTACATGTAGCTTATGTGGGTAACTGCGTTTTATTTTTCTAGGATCATTGTTGATAGACCGTTAATTGCACATGTTTTTACCCCTATTCTTACACCGTTTGAGATGTGGATTCTCGCGTTTTAGGCCGATTTCACGCTAGGTTGTGCTTGTTTGTGATATTTCAGGTCCTAGTACGTGAGTGAAGGCTTTGGAGCGAATTTGGGGGCGATTGGACGAAGATCGGACGCGTGGC